CATCATCATCATCATCATCATCATCATCATCATCATCATCATCATCATCATCATCATCATCATCATCATCATCATCATCATCATCATCATCATCATCATCATCATCATCATCATCATCATCATCATCATCATCATCATCATCGTCATCATCATCATCAGCATCAGCATCATCATCATCATCATCATCGTCATCATCATCCGCACCATCAGCAGCAGCACCATCAACATCGGCATCAGCATCATCGACATCGTCAGCATCAAAATCATCATCGTCGCCAGCCTCATCATCAGCATCATCCGCTGCATCACCATCATCAGCATTATCATCAACATCGCCATCAGCAGCAGCATCCGCATCATCATCATCAGCAGCATCGTCAGCGACATCAGCACCAGCAGCATCAGCATCACCGTCATCACCATCGTCGTCGTCACCCTCATCAGCATCAGCATCGTCATCATCATCATCATCATCATCATCATCAGCATCAGCATCACCATCATGATCAACACCATCAGCCTCAGCATCATCAGAAGCAGCCTCAGCATCATAGTCGTCATCGTTACCATCAGCAGTAGCATCATCATCATCGTCATCCGCATCATCATCACCATCATCATCAGTATCGCCATCAACAGCAGCATCAGCATCATCATCACCCGTGTCATCATCAGCATCAGCAGCGTCAGCATGATCATCATGAACAGCAGTATCATCAGAACCATCGTCATCATCATCATAAGCAGAATCTGCATCCTCCTCCTCCTCATCCTCTTCCTAGTCCTCCGCCCTCCTCCCTCCTGCTCCTCCCACTCCTCCTCTCTGCTCCTCGTCCTCCTCCGCCTCCTCCTCCTTCTCATCCTCCTCGTCCTCCTCTCTGCTCCGCGTCCTCTTCCTCATCCTCCTCCTCCTCTTAACTCCTCCTCTCCTCCTCGTCCTCCTCATCATCCTCCGTGTCCTCCTCATCCTCCTCCTCCTCCTTCTCCTCCTCATCCACCTTCTCATCCTCCTCCCATCCACCTCCTCCTCCTCCTCCGCCTCCTCGTCAGTATCATGTTTCTTATCAGCTTCCTCGTCATCCTTCTCCTCCTCGTCCGCCTGTTCCTCCTCCTCCACATCCTCCTCCTCCTCCTCCTCCTCCCCTGTTCCTCCTCCTCCTCCAAATCCTCCTCCTCCTCGGCATCCTCCTCCGCCTCCTCCTTCTCCTCCTCATCATCCTCATCATCCTCCCCATCCACCTCCTCATCATCCTTCCCTGTCGAATCTTCCCCATCCGCCTCCTCGTCGTCATCCTCCTCCTCCTCATCATCAACATCATCATCCGCTTCTGCCTCCGCATCATCCTCCTCATCCTCCCCCTCCACATCCTCTTCCTTCTCCTCCGCCTCCTCCTTCTCCTCCTCCGCTTCATCCTCCCCCGCTTCATCCTCATCCGACGCCTCCTCCTCCTCCTCCCCCTCTCCCTCCTCCTCCTCCTCGACCTCCTCCTCCTCCTCCTCCTCCTCCTCCTCCTCTCCTCCTCCTCCTCCTCCTCCTCCTCATTCTCCCTCCTCATCATCCTCCGCGTCCTCCTGCTCCTCCTCCTCCCCCCCTCCGCCTCCTCCTCCCCCTTCCTCACTCCTCCTCCTCCTCCTCCTCCTCCCTCCTCCTCCTTCCTCATCCTCCGCATCCTCCTCCTCCGCATCCTCCTCCTCCCCGTCCTCCCCCTCTCATCATCCTCTACTGCCTCCTCCCTCCTTCTCCGCCTATTCTTCCCCGCAGCATCAGCATCAGCATCAGCATCAGCATCAGCATCAGCATCAGCATCAGCATCAGCATCAGCATCCTCAGCATCAGCATCAGCATCAGCATATTCAGCATCAGCAGAATCATCATCATCATCATCATCATCATCAGCATCATCATCATCATCATCATCAGCATCACCATCATCATCATCATCATCATCATCATCATCATCATCATCATCATCATCATCATCATCATCATCATCGTGATCATCATCATCATCATCATCAGCAGCATCATCATCAGCATCAGCATCAGCATCAGCATCCTCAGCATCAGCATCATCATCATCATCAGCATCATCATCATCATGATAGTCATCCTCATCATCATCAGCAGCATCATCAGCATCAGCATCACCATCATCAGCATCATCAGCATCATCAGCATCATCAGCATCATCAGCATCATCATCATCATAATCATCAGCATCATCATCATCATCATCATCAGCATCAGCATCATCAGCATCAGCATCATCGTCATCAGCATCAGCATCAGCATCATCATCATCATCAGCAGCATCATCATCATCATCATCATCATCAGCGTCGTCATCATCATCATCAGCACCATCATCAGCAGCGCCATCAACATCGGCATCAGCATCATCGACATCGTCAGCATCATAATGATCATCGTCGCCAGCATCATCATCAGCATCATCCGCTGCATCACCATCATCATCAGTATCATCAACATCGCCATCAGCAGCAGCATCCGCATCATCATCAGCAGCATCGTCAGCGACATCAGCATCAGCAGCATCAGCATCATCGTCATCACCATCGTCGTCGTCACCCTCATCAGCATCAGCATCGTCATCATCATCATCAGCAGCATCAGCATCATCATCATCATCATCAGCAACATCATCATCATCATCATCACCAACACCATCACCATCAGCAACATCAGAAGCAGCCTCAGCATCATCTTCGACATCGTTACCATCAGCAGTATCATCCTCATCCTCATCATCATCATCAGTATCGCCATCATCAGCAGCATCAGCATCGTCATCACCAGCATCATCAGCATCAGCAGCATCAGCATGATCATCATGAACAGCAATAGCATCAGCATCATCGTCATCATCATAAGCATAATATGCATCCTCCTCCTCCTCCTCATCCTCTTCCTCCTCCTCCGCCCTCCTCCTCCCTCCTGCTCCTCCCACTCCTCCTCTCTGCTCCGCGTCCTCCTCCGCCTCCTCCTTCACATCCAACTCCTTCTCCTCCTCCTCCTTCTCCTCCTCATCCTCCTCCCCCTTGTCACCTCCCCCTGTTCCTCTTCATCCTCAGCCTCCTCCTCCTCCCTCGCCTCCTCCTCTTCCTCCCCCTCCTCCGCCGTCTCGTCCTCCTCCTCTTCCTCCTCCACCACCTCTCTCTCCTCCTCCTTATCCGCAGCAGCATCAGCATCAGCATCAGCATCAGCATCAGCATCAGCATCAGCATCAGCATCATCATCATCATCATCACCACCACCACCACCACCATCATCATCATCATCATCATCATCATCATCATCATCATCATCACTATCATCATCATCAGCATCGTCATCATCATCATCATCATCATCGGCATCAGTATCATCATCATCACAATCATCAGGATCACCACCACCATCGGCATCATCATTAGCAGCAATAGCATCGTCGTCATCATCATCATCACCATCAGTATCATCCTCATCCTCATCCGTATCATCATCACCACTATCAGCATCATCATGATCAGCATCATCATCATCGTCAGCATCATATTTACAAGTATCATCATCACCATCATCAGCATTCTCATTATCAGCATCATCAGCATCGTCATCACCAGCATCATCATGATCATCATCCTCTGCAGCATCACCATCATCAGCATCATCTTCATCCACGTCAGCATCATCATAAGAACCACCAGCAATACCATTATCAGCATCATCGTCATCATTACCATCAGCATAATCATCATCAGCATCTCAATCATCATCAGCAGCGTCATCAGCATCATCAGCATCACAATCAGCAGCATCATCATCAGAATCATCAGCATCATCAGCATCAGCGTCAGCATCATCATCAGCAGCATCATCTTCACTATTATCATTACCATCATCATCGTCGTCAGCTTCAGTATCAGAATCGGCATCATGACCATCAGCATCATCATCAGCAGCCTCATCACCACCATCATCATCATCATCATCAACAACAGTATCAGCATCACCACCGCCATCATAATCATCTTCAGCACCATCAGCATCGTCATTATCATCATCATCATGATCATAATCAGCATCATCATCACCATCACTACCAGCATCATCATCACCAGCATCATCAGCATCATCATCGTCATCATCATCGCCATCATCGTCGCCGTCATCAGCATCAGCATCATCATCATCATCAGCATAATCATCATCAGCATCAGCATCAGCAGAAGTATCATCAGCACTGCCATCATCAGCAGCATCACCATTATCATCATTATCATCATCAGTATCATCATCATGATCAGTGTAATCATCATCAGCAGCAACATCATCATCATCAGCACCATGATCCTCATCACCATCATCATCATCAACATCATCATCACCATGACCAGAATTATCATCATCACCTTCCCTCCCATACGCATCCTCCTACTCCTCCGCCTCCTCCGCCTCCTCCGCCTCCTCCTCCTGCCCCTCGAGACAAGGGCGGCGGCCGCGCCCCCCCCCGCCTCGGGGCCCGCAGGTGCGGCGCCACGCGCCTCTCGAAGACCTGGTGCAGCACGAGCTGCACCAGCCGCGCCTCGGCCGCCGCTGCTGGCCATCGGAGGTCGGCGGCGAGCGAGGCGGTCTTCGCCGAAGGGCGGCGGGCCTTCTCGGAGGCCCTCGCGCCTTCGGAAGGCTTCTTGCGTCTTCGGGTAAGGCTTGGAGGACACTTCTCTGAAGGCCGCGGGACTTTCAGACCTTCCGAGGAGGCCCGCCCCTTCTCTTCTCCCCCCCTCGCCCGCCGCCGAAAGGACATGCTAGTACTCCGTGTCCTCCTCGGAAGAATGCGACCGCCCGAACATCGGCGGTGGACAAACCTCCCTTTAGTAAACCTCCCGTTAGGGAAAACGGCTTAGAACCGAAACCGACGGACCTAGACCCGCATAAATAACGGCCGCGACGCCCTCTCGTGAACCGAAAATGGCCAATTCACTAATCGACGTGTCAGGGTAGGAGGTCTGTCCACCTCGGAGAACATAGAATAGTACACAGATCTTGTAGCTTCCGTCTCCCAAGCGGCACACTCGGAGAGCGCCCGCCACGACGCACGTGCTATAAGAGTTCTCGGTGTGCGCTTCGCCCCTGGGGGGGGCGACGCACGCTCAGTGTTCGCATGTTGGGGTGATGCCGGTCTGCCGAGACGTGTTCGCGTCGTGGACCACAGGAGGGAAGGTTTTTCGTTGTTCTCGGCCTCTCGTGGCCCTCACCGGGCCCCGGGACAGTCAAAAACATGATGGACCCACGAACCCGGAAAGGGATAAAGACATGTGCAGCATGGTCACGTTTTCACGATACCCAACTGGGCGACATCCCACGAAACATCCCACGAGACACCCCGCGAAACATCCCACGAGACACCTCACGAAACATTCCACGAGACACCTCACGAAACATTCCACGAGACACCCCGTGAAACATTCCACGAGACACCCCACGAACAGGCAACCACTCAACCAGACACGCCACGAAACATTCCACGGGGGTGCGACTGGGTGTGGTCGTGCTGGGGTGTGGTCGTGCTGGGGTGTGGTCGTGCTGGGGAGTGGTCGTGCTGGGGTGTGGTCGTGCTGGGGGGTGGTCGTGCTGGGGGGTGGTCGTGCTGGGGGGTGGTCGTGCTGGGGCGCTGGGGCGTGGTCGTGCTGGGGCGTGGTCGTGCTGGGGCGTGGTCGTGCTGGGGTGTGGTCGTGCTGTTGGTTGGGTCGTGCTGGGGTGTGGTCGTGCTGGGGTGTGGTTTTGCTGGGGTAGGGTCGTGCTGGGGTCGGGTCGTGCTGGGGTGTGGTCGTGCTGGTGCTGGGGTGTGGTCGTGCTGGGGTGTGGTCGTGCTGGGGTGTGGTCGTGCTGAGGTGTGTTCGTGCTGGGGTGTGGTCGTGCTGGGGCGTGGTCGTGCTAGGGTGGGGTCGTGCATTTCGCTCGAGACATCCTGCCAAAATTCCAGGAAATCGCACAAAAACAAACGAATTAGTCGAGACATCCTCGGAATTCCTGCGCGAGGAGCGCTTTTCCGTGTCGCGGTCGGCTCTGCAAAACCAGCGTTTTCGCTCGAGACATCCTCAACAAATTCTGAAAACAACGTTTCGCTCGAGACATCCCCAACTCTGCAAAACCAGCGTTTCGCTCGAGACATCCTCAACAAATTCTGAAAGACAAGCGTTTCGCTCGAGACATCCTCAAATCTTTTAATAAATCCGCAGGCCTCCTTCGACCTCGATATTATTTATCAGGGAAAAATATCCGCCGCCTCCTTCAAGTTGGCACCGGGGACAGGTCCGGGGGACAGTGTTACCCACTAAAAGAGAACCCTGGGCCCATGCCCTTTCCGGGAACATGATGGACCCACGAACCCGGAAAGGGATATAGACATGTGGAGCATGGACACGTTTTCATGATACCCAACTGGGCAACACCTCACGAAACATCCCACGAGACACCTCACGAAACAGCCCACGAGACACCTCACGAAACATTCACGAGACACCTCACGAAACATTTCACGAGACACCCCGCGAAACATTCTACGAGACACCCCACGAAACATTCCACGACGACAGGCAACCACTCAAACAGACACCCCAGAAACATTCCACGGGGGTGCGACTGGGTGTGGTCGTTGCTGGGGTGTGGTCGTGCTGGGGTGTGGTCGTGCTGGGGAGTGGTGGTGCTGGGGTGTGGTCGTGCTGGGGGGTGGTCGTGCTGGGGTGTGGTCGTGCTGGGGGGGTGGTCGTGCTGGGGGGTGGTTGTGCTGGGGCGTGGTCGTGCTGGGGCGTGGTCGTGCTGGGGCGTGGTCGTGCTGGGGTGTGGTCGTGCTGTGGTGAGGTCGTGCTGGGGTGTGTCGTGCTGGGGTGTGGTCTTGCTGGGGTAGGGTCGTGCTGGGGTCGGGTCGTGGCTGGGGTGGTGGTCGTTGCTGGGGTATGGTCGTGCTGGGGTGTGGTCGTGCTGGGGTGTGGTCGTGCTGGGGTGTGTCGTGCTGGGGTGTGGTCGTGCTGGGGTATGGTCGTGCTAGGGTAGGGTCGTGCATTTCGCTCGAGACATCCTGCCAAAATTCCAGGAAATCGTACAAAAACAAAGGAATTAGTCGAGACATCATCGAAATTCCTTCGCGCGGGGCGCTTTTCCGCGTCGCGGTCGGATCTGCAAAACAAGCGTTTCGCTCGAGACATCCTCGGCAAACTCTGCGGAGCAAGCGTTTCGCTCGAGACATCCTCAACACACGAAAAAGTGGCCCGCACCCTGTGATTTATCGATCGGGATTTCAACATGATGGACCCACGAACCCGGAAAGGGATATAGACATGTGCAGCATGGTCACGTTTTCACGATATCCAACTGGGCGACACCTCACGAAACATCCCACGAGACACCCCGCGAAACATCCTAGGAGACACCTCACGAAACAACCCACGAGACACCTCACGAACCATTCCACGAGACACCCCGTGAAACATTCCACGAGACACCCCACGAACAGGCAACCACTCAACCAGACACCCCACGAAACATTCCACGGGGGTGCGACTGGGTGTTGTCGTGCTGGGGTGTGGTCGTGCTGGAGTATGGTCGTGTTGGGGTGTGGTCGTGCTGGGGTGTGGTCGTGCTGGGGGGTGGTCGTGCTGGGGGGTGGTCGTGCTAGGGGGGTGGTCGTGCTGGGGGGTGGTCGTGCTGGGGCGTGGTCGTGCTGGGGCGTGGTCGTGCTGGGGCGTGGTCGTGCTGGAATGTGGTCGTGCTGGGGTGAGGTCGTGCTGGGGTGTGGTCGTGCTGGGGTGTGGTCTTGCTGGGGTGGGGTCGTGCTGGGGTGTGGTCGTGCTGGGGTGTGGTCGTGCTGGGGGGTGGTCGTGCTGTGGTGTGGTCGTGCTGGGGTGTGGTCGTGCTGGGGTGTGGTCGTGCTGGGGTGTGGTCGTGCTGGGGTGTGGTCGTGCTTGGGGTGTGGTCGTGCTGGGGGGTGGTCGTGCTGGTCGTGCTGTGGTGAGGTCGTGCTGGGGTGTGGTCGTGCTGGGGTGTGGTCTTGCTGGGGTAGGGTCGTGCTGGGGTCGGGTCGTGCTGGGGTGTGGTCGTGCAGGGGTGGTCGTGTGGGGTGGGGTCGTGCTGGGGTGGGGTCGTGCTGGGGTCTGGTCGTGCTGGGGTGTGGTCGTGCTGGGGTATGGTCGTGCTAGGGTGGGGTCGTGCATTTCGCTCGAGACATCCTGCCAAAATTCCAGGAAATCGCACAAAAACAAACGAATTAGTCGAGACATCCTCGGAATTCCTGCGCGAGGAGCGCTTTTCCGTGTCGCGGTCGGCTCTGCAAAACCAGCGTTTCGCTCGAGACATCCTCAACAAATTCTGAAACCAAGCGTTTCGCTCGAGACATCCCCAACTCTGCAAAACCAGCGTTTCGCTCGAGACATCCTCAACAAATTCTGAAAAACAAGCGTTTCGCTCGAGACATCCTCAAATTTTAATTCGCCGGCCTCCTTCGACCTCGATATTTATCAGGGAAAAAATTCGCCGGCCTCCTTCAAGTTGGCACCGGGGGACAGGTTTACCCACTAAAAGAGAACCCTGGGCCCGGCCCTTTCCGGGAACAAGCGTTTCGCTCGAGACATCCTCAAATTTTAATTCGCCGGCCTCCTTCGACCTCGTTATTTATCAGGGAAAAAATCGCCGGCCTCCTTCAAGTTGGCACCGGGGGACAGGTTTACCTACTAAAAGAGAACCCTGGGCCCCCGCCCTTTCCGGGAAACATGATGGACCCACGAACCCGGAAAGGGATATAGACATGTGGAGCATGGACACGTTTTCATGATACCCAACTGGGCAACACCTCACGAAACATCCCACGAGACACCTCACGAAACAGCCCACGAGACACCTCACGAAACATTCCACGAGACACCTCACGAAACATTTCACGAGACACCCCGCGAAACATTCCACGAGACACCCCACGAAACATTCCACGACGACAGGCAACCACTCAACCAAGGCGGTGTGGTCGTGCTGGGGAGTGGTCGTGCTGGGGTGTGGTCGTGCTGGGGGGTGGTCGTGCTGGGGGTGGTCGTGCTGGGGGGGTGGTCGTGCTGGGGGGGGGTGTGCTGGGGCGTGGTCGTGCTGGGGCGTGGTCGTGCTGGGGCGTGGTCGTGCTGGGGCGTGGTCGTGCTGGGGCGTGGTCGTGCTGGGGCGTGGTCGTGCTGGGGTGTGGTCGTGCTGTGGTAAGGTCGTGCTGGGGTGCGGTCGTGCTGGGGTGTGGTCTTGCTGGGGTGGGGTCGTGCTGGGGTGTGATCGTGCTGGGGTGGGGTCGTGCTGGGGTGTGGTCGTGCTGGGGTGTGGTCGTGCTAGGGTGGGGTCGTGCTGGGGTGGGGTCGTGCTGGGGAGTGGTCGTGCTGGGGTGTGGTCGTGCTGGGGTGTGGTCATGCTGGGGCGTGGTCGTGCTGGGGTGGGGTCGTGCTGGGGTGGGGTCGTGCTGGGGTGGGTTCGTGCTGGGGTGCTCCGCACCCTGTGATTTATCGATCGGGTCGTGCTGGGGTGTGGTCGTGCTGGGGTGTGGTCGTGCTGGGGTGTGGT